TCAATTACAGGTAGGGCCTCCCAAGCCGGAGAGGTCGAGGGTGAAAAGTCAGACGAAGACGGGTACCTCCCTCTGCAGCACCGGGGATTAGAATAGAGAGGCAACTAAAAAGGAGGCTTAAATTAGTTATGCCGAAGAATTAATCATACTTGAGCCTTGTCAGGTGTCATTAATAGAGCCTCTGCGATACCAGGCGATCTCTTAGAGTACTACGCCTTGCATCCCTCGAGGGGGCTTCTTGGATGTGGAAAATCTTTTTCCCCGCACTCGTGGGACATGGACTGAACAGGCATCTAGGATTCGCAGCACAGACTCATTGAAAATAACATATGAAAAAACAAAATAGCTCAAAGCAAGCGTCAGAGCTCTGGGGCGACATTGGAAGGAGGTGGACTTGAAGGTGATAGAGGCCAATAAATTTCTGTGGAGACTGAGGGTCTTGGTGTTCATACCTACACGCCAAAAAAGAGGAGGGGACACTTAGGACACGTCTCAGTGAGCTACAGAATCCTGCTCTGGGAGGCCATAGTAAGACTTACTCCCCTGGAGGGGCTGAAATGAGCTGGATATGGTCATCTTCAGGATCCCGACATCAGCGCCGATGTTGATAGTAGTAACAAGCAAACCTACAACACAGTAAGGGGGCTTCGGCAGTACTTCTTGAGGTCATGGGAGAGTTTGGTATTGCTCTCGTACAAGAACCCTGGGTTCCCAGGGAAAAATCATGGGATTGGGAAAATCAGAGGGGAGTTAATTCATAACAGAAACTTGGAGACCCCAAAACCATGCGTAATGATCCCTAAAAGAATAAACACCGCCAGTGAATAATTTTGTATCATTCAAGTGCTCAGTTTGAACATTTCAAATAGTGAAATTGTGTGTTCAGGTTGACCTAAGTGAAAAGTGAAAGAAACAAAGAAAAAACTTTTCAAACCAAGCTACCTCATTGCGTTTCAAATTTTAGTATCCATATTCGTCTTCGGGTAATAATTGACATATTCAATACTCGCTTTCACCAGTGCAACGAAAACCGTTTTCCTGCTTGATTAGAGGTTTGAATACGTCACGTATTTCCACACTAACCTTACTGAATACATCGTTCTTCAACATGTATGCAGCTTCTTTGAACTTTCTATTGACACAATGTTCCCCCCTTTGGATAATTTCAGCTTTGGACCACTTGATATTATATCGGTGAGTCTAATCATGTTCCGCTATTCCTGATTTGCCAGTTTCTTCACGCTGGGTGGTTTTCTTATGCTCGCCAATATAGAACTCACTTGACATTCAGTAAATGCATTTATGCAATTCTCGGGGTCGCTGTACGCATTTGGTGTCTTAATTTTTGTGATTTTCACCCCCCTTGAGAGTAAAAATTCCTGATTCCCTTTCTTGATGCCTATTTACGCTAGACCAAGGTTAGGTTAATCTTATCGTAATAACTGTCAAACCATTCTTCCAAATTACTAAGTGTAAAAGACAAAGTTTATCTATATTAAATACTTGAAACGACAATTGAATCAATTTTCATAAGAATTTTACAAATATTCTAAAATGTGCATTGTAGAAAAAGTATCCAATTTAATTGTATTTATGGCTCAGTATTTTGCATATTAGAAGCTAGGCTACTAGCATATAAATAAATTAATAATTAAACTCTTTGAGAATAATTTTGACATGAGATCTGATTTCCGTTAACCAGCTGTAACCGATCTACGAACGACAAACCTCAGAAGTCGAAACTTGTGCGAGCTGAGGATTAACGAGATTTAACATTTTAACGTGGGATTCCTAACACGAGCTTGAGGATACAAAGTAAAAATCGGTCACCCCGACGTAGGGCGCGAACCACCGTTGCACATAGCGGTAGATTGAGTAGAACGAACCACTCACGCTAACCAATCATCCCATAAACATCAACAACCTCAGTAGTAAATGGGTGATGAAATTTAGGACTATATAAAATGCTCAACTGAAAAATTGTCTACCATGAGTTTCTGTTTATTAGTAGGTATCATTCAAGTGCTCAGTTTGAACATTTCAAATAGTGAAATTGTGTGTTCAGGTTGACCTAAGTGAAAAGTGAAAGAAACAAAGAAAAAACTTTTCAAACCAAGCTACCTCATTGCGTTTCAATTTTTAGTATCCATATTCGTCTTCGGGTAATAATTGACATATTCAATACTCGCTTTCACCAGTGCAACGTGAACCGTTTTCCTGCTTGATTAGAGGTTTGAATACGTCACGTATTTCCACACTAACCTTACTGAATACATCGTTCTTCAACATGTATGCAGCTTCTTTGAACTTTCTATTGACACAATGTTCCCCCCTTTGGATAATTTCAGCTTTGGACCACTTGATATTATATCGGTGAGTCTAATCATGCTCCGCTATTCCTGATTTGCCAGTTTCTTCACGCTGGGTGGTTTTCTTATGCTCGCCAATATAGAACTCACCTGACATTCAGTAAATGCATTCATGCAATTCTCGGGGTCGCTGTACGCATAAGAATTTTACAAATATTCTAAAATGTGCATTGTAGAAAAAGTATCCAATTTAATTGTATTTATGGCTCAGTATTTTGCATATAGTGGCTGCCACATAAGAGGTATATATACTATCATGGACTTTCATTTAAAACTATTTAAGATAAGCCATATTACGGTACATCATCTGCATTTAACTCCAACGGTATAGGCAGCGCACGCCAAAAGATAGCTCTCAAGGAGCAAGAATTTTTCCGACTTCTGATGTATACGCTGTATTTATGTGAAGTTTCATCTAAATCCGTTCAGTCGTTTAGGCGTCAAAGAGCCACGAACATACATACATTTATCCATCCTCACAAACTTTCACATTTATAATTAATATTAGTAGATATCATAAGGTAAGCACACAAAAGCTATATTTGTGTTAGTAGGCTAAACATCAGACAAATGTTACCAACTAAACTAAATTATTGTGATTTCAATAAGTATATATCAAATAAAACCGAATCAAAAGTTATATATGTAGAGGTTTGAATACGTCACGTATTTCCACACTAACCTTACTGAATACATCGTTCTTCAACATGTATGCAGCTTCTTTGAACTTTCTATTGACACAATGTTCCCCCCTTTGGATAATTTCAGCTTTGGACCACTTGATATTATATCGGTGAGTCTAATCATGTTCCGCTATTCCTGATTTGCCAGTTTCTTCACGCTGGGTGGTTTTCTTATGCTCGCCAATATAGAACTCACTTGACATTCAGTAAATGCATTCATGCAATTCTCGGGGTCGCTGTACGCATAAGAATTTTACAAATATTCTAAAATGTGCATTGTAGAAAAAGTATCCAATTTAATTGTATTTATGGCTCAGTATTTTGCATATAGTGGCTGCCACATAAGAGGTATATATACTATCATGGACTTTTATTTAAAACTAATTAAGATAAGCCATATTACGGTACATCATCTGCATTTAACTCCAACGGTATAGGCAGCGCACGCCAAAAGATAGCTCTCAAGGAGCAAGAATTTTTCCGACTTCTGATGTATACGCTGTATTTATGTGAAGTTTCATCTAAATCCGTTCAGTCGTTTAGGCGTCAAAGAGCCACGAACATACATACATGTATATATCCTCACAAACTTTCACATTTATAATTAATATTAGTAGATATCATAAGGTAAGCACATAAAAGCTATATTTGTGTTTGTAGGCTAAACATCAGACAAATGTTACCAACTAAACTAAATTATTGTGATTTCAATAAGTATATATCAAATAAAACGGAATCAAAAGTTATATCTGTGCTTATATACACTCATACTATAACATTATCCATTAAAACATCAATGTCCCGGTGGACATGCAGAAGACACTCGTTTTAGCTGGTGTAGTTAGGTGTGGCTGGAGTGTACTAGATCTAGATTAGATCACTGAACATTAAAACAACACAGAAAAGAGTAGAGCCAGGTAACGACCTCCTCTCTAAAATGGCTGCTCAGTAAACTCTTCCAGAAGAGCGAATGGGGAGTAGAGGGGGCATGTTCTGTTGGCGTTGGCATCGCGTAAGATTACATAAAGCCTCTTTATTCACAGAACATTCGTAATTTAAATGTAATAATAAGAGACTGAAAATATTTTTTCAAATTATTGATGGTTAAGTTAAGATAACTCATGCAGGAATCTGGGTTATCGGTCGCAGTTTGGTAACGGGCAAGAGCCTAGGACTGGCCTAGGCTCTATTTCCCCAGAATTGAACGTTTCCTGTGTTCAAGGTGTGGCGCTTACTGACTGAATAGGCCATTGCTGCTACGAATGGTGTTCCGGGATCTGAAGCAGGTTCTAATCTTATACTCAGACCCAATTCTTCTCATCCTCTCCGTCAGTCCTTTGATGTAAGGAAGAGGTAGCGCTCCATGTTTATGAATCTTTTTATGTAGTTCAGGACCACCACAAAGCCGATGCTACTGTTACCACGGCAACAGGGTGAAATCTAAAATATATACTACATAACTGAAGTCCGTCCCAGAACTCATGGATAGAATAAGAGGAGCTTGCAACGAAATTACTCCAGAAATATTCCATAATGTGAAAAATTAGTTTATAAACATAATCCATTATTGCCAGGAAGTGGATGTTCAGGAAAGATTGAGATTTTTTTCAAGTTCCACGTTTTTGAAATTATCTTTCTGCCTCGTGAGCTTAGAGCTTTAACTTTTTGCAAGCTAAAAGAATATGTTGGTGGCAAATTGATATTTTGAAAATTCGCTAAATNGGTTCTTTGCTTTATGTGACACAAAAAATTATATGAACACCTTTATTGACATTTCCTGTAATAAATTAAAAAATATATTTTTATATTAGGAAAAATATAACAAATTCTCCATAACGGCAAATTTTCAATATTTCTATAAAATAGTAATTACTTCATTTCCAGTTATTAAAAAAAACATTAGTTTTAATACTTAAACTCAAATGCCTATATTGTTGAAAAATATCCTTCTGAATTGATGTGAAATTGCAAAAAAAACAACAACCTTTTTCAAATGACGTTTTTAATGACTCTTTTATTCACCCAACATACTTTTTGTCTCATTTTACAATAAAAATTTCAAAAATCTGGTAAAAAATTTGGCAAACTTCAGTAGTTCCTCAATTATCAAAAATTATGACACACTTTTACAAATTAATGGAGGAGTCAGGAGTTTCCATGAAAAATTTTGAAGGCATTTAAATCTGTTGTTTCAAATTACTCTTTCCCCATCGACGGTGCCCTTACCTGTGGTGGGGCTTGCAAACTTTTATGATATCTAGAGCCATGCGGTAGGTCAATTACAGGTAGGGCCTCCCAAGCCGGAGAGGTCGAGGGTGAAAAGTCAGACGAAGACGGTACCTCCCTCTGCGTCATCGGGGATTAGAACAGAGAGGCAACTAAAAAGGGGGCTTAAATTAGTTATGCGATTCGTGCCGAAGAATTAATCATGCTTGAGCCTTGTCAGGTATCACCAATGGAGCCTCTGGGATACCAGGCGACCTCTTAGAGTACTACGCCTTGCATCCCTCGAGGGGGCTTCTTGGATGTGGAAAATCTTTTTCCCCGCACTCGTGGGACATGGACTGAATAGGCATCTAGGATTCGCAGCACAGATTCATTGAAAATAACATATGTGGAATGCACTGAAAAGGGTACTAAAGAGAATGTAAAAATCTATTCACAGAGGATATCATATAGTGAGGCTGGAAGTGGGCTCAGAGTGGCGGTTATAGATAGATACCATCCGGAGCTCACCCTGAGTCAGGAACAAGACTCAATTCAGGAGAGACTCGCCCCTGAATAAGATAACATTCTCTCAGGCAGCAACACTAATCTTCAGTCCGAATGAAGCTCAGAGCAAGCGTCAGAGCTCTGAGGCGACATTGGAACAAGGTGGACTTGAGGTGATCAAGGCCAAAAAATTTCCGTGGAGATTGGTGGTCTTGGTGTTCATACCATACACGCCAAAAAAGCGGAGGGGACACTTAGGACACGTCTCAGTGAGCTACAGAATCCTGCCCTGGGAGGCCATAGTAAGACTTACTCCCCTGGAGGGGCTGAAATGNATTTTTGGATTAATTTTTGAATTGTTTCTTTTCTTTTATTCTTTGAAGCGCTAAACATACCAGATTTTTTAACAAGCTTTGTTGATAAGATAGTATTTTCTTGGACAATAAAGTATATATTGATATTACATCAAAATATAAAATAACATTTTCAGTTTCTATGGAAACTTCTTGGAAGGTATCCCCTGTAACAACTATTGAAGTATCATCTGCATACATGAATAACCTACTTCCTTTGATAAAGTTAGGTAAGTCATTCATGTACAAGAGAAAAAGAAGAGGTCCGAGTATACTCCCTTGAGGGGTCCCTAAATCAATTTTTTCGCAGCGGAAAGTCCTGTCCAAATTTTAACAAGCCTGTTTCGATTTCTTATGAACAAATTCAGCCAATCATTCACCCCGCCTCGAATACCCAATGCATCCAACTTCTTCTGCAAGATTTGTGGATTAGGAACAGCGAAAGCACGAGATAAGTCCGAGTATACTCCCTTGTGCGGTCCCTAAATCAATTTTTTCCCAGTGGAAAGTCCTGTCCAAATTTTAACAAGCCTGTTTCGATTTCTTATGAACAAATTCAGCCAATCATTCACCCCACCTCGAATACCCAATGCATCCAACTTCTTCTGCAACATTTGTGGATTAAGAACAGCAAAAGCACGAGATAAATCGAAAAATATTCCTATCACATAATTATTCTGTTCAATGTTATTGTATTTATATTATACCCCTTGTCATGCTGGCAAGAGGTCAGCAGGTTGATTTTTTTAAAACTTGAGTCTCTCATGCATGCATCTGTCCAATACCAACTTTCGAAAATGGACTGAGAATGGATATCAACATTTTTCTGATCACCTGCCTTAAATATAGGAATTGTTTTCAAGACTTTTCGAACATATATGGGAATTTTCCATTTTTTACAGGATATTATTATTTTGACAAGAAAAGGAGATAACACTGCTCTGCAATTACTTATGACCTACAATATTTTCCAATTCAAACTCAGAAAACGGTATGAAAGAAAACGTATCTCTATTTCCCCANGTGACTGAAAATATTTTCAAATTATTGATGGTTAAGTTAAGATAACTCATGCAGGAATCTGGGTTATCGGTCGCAGTTTGGTAACGGGCAAGAGCCTAGGACTGGCCTAGGCTCTATTTCCCCAGAATTGAACGTTTCCTGTGTTCAAGGTGGGGCGCTTACTGACTGAATAGGCCATTGCTGCTACGAATGGTGTTCCGGGATCTGAAGCAGGTTCTAATCTTATACTCAGACCCAATTCTTCTCATCTTCTCCGTCAGTCCTTTGATGTAAGGAAGAGGTAGCGCTCCAAGTTTATCAATCTGTTTATGTAGTTCAGGACCACCACAAAGCCGATGCTACTGTTACCACGGCAACAGGGTGAAATCTAAAGTATATACTACATAACTGAAGTTCGTCCCAGAACTCATGAATAGAATAAGAGGAGCTTGCAAAGAAATTACTCCAGAAATATTCCATACTGTGAAAAATTAGTTTATAAACATAATCCATTATTGCCAGGAAGTGGATGGTGAACATTTTGAATATTTACTGAAATAAACTGGAATGTTTCCAATTATTTTTTACTGAAATCATTATTTTTATCTTTTGTTTCCAGATTCCAGAATATTCAGGAACGGCTGATCCCATTTTGTAAAATAAACCACTATTGGATAGAGAACTGAAAGACCTATCAAATGAGGTATCACAGAACACCTGTCTTTTTTTTTGAAAAAAGGAGTCGACAGCGCTTTCTCGGCGATGAGTGATGCCACAATATAGATACTTTTCTTGTCAAATAGTACTGAAAATGAGGCAGTTCTACGTGAACATTGTGAGATTTTGATGCAGGGGCATTTTACGTCCGCTTCAGACCTGGTTATCATTTCAATTGTGTGATCATTAAGCACTCAGAGATGTTCTACTTAATCATCGCTGGTAGTCGGAGGGGTTTTATGTTTGCTGCCATCGGGGCCCTCAAAATGATAACCATTGAAGATAAATAATTAGGAACATTGGTAGAGGTGGAAGAGGAATAGCGAGGTGAAGTGTTGATTATCACCCCGACTAAATTATTTAGTAAGGAAGTAATTATTTAACAGACTAAAGCTCAAAAGAAAGATCCCCAGACGAATGACAATAAAGTTAATAACTTGTAAAAAAAGAGATGAAAAAGAATAACCATTAGGTAACTGCAATGAGTATAAATATATGAAAAATATTTATTACGACTTTCGAACATAACAAGTTCAATGGTTATCGACAGAGATACCTTTGAGTAACTAACAACTATCAAAATACAAATTTTTGTTAAAATTTCATCATCTTGAAAAACTAAGCAAATTAGGACATACGTTCATATAAACTTTTTTTATAAAATATGACAAGGAATCATGTCCTGAACATATATCAACCCTGTCTATCTGATAGGCCAATCTTAGCTTGAAGTTGAGGTCTGGATTATTTTAAATAGTACCCTGGCTGTCGCCAGTAGTCCTAATAAATCAATTCAGATTTTGAATCCTACCGGATACAATTTTAAATAGATCTTCCAAGGATACTTGAACAAATTAACACTTTGCATGCTGTTTCTAATTTTAAGTAAAACAACATACACAGCGCTCGCTTTCTGACAACGGCAACCAATCCTGATTTCACATCTATAAATATTGAAAGTATAAACATTCGCAATACTAATAATAGCAAATAATTAGCTGTTATCAAGAATCTTATATCAACATATTATTCACCATATAAAAACATCAGACAACTTGTTGATAAATGTCCGATTTATCAATTGAGGAGATTAACACAAAAAAATGTGAATTTCACTCTTGAAACTTCCTCAAGGATATCTCTAGATCTAAAATATTGTTGAGCGCCGTTTGTAATGAGAAAGTTTCTGAACGTTTTGCAGACACAAGTGGTGTCTTGAGAAGTAGAATTTTCTTTCCAATATCTACTTTTCTGCCCTCTTCATTTTTATTCCGACTTGGAACTAAGAGTTTAGTTGATTTTCCACTTCTAACTTGGAATTTATCGATTTTCAATTCATTTTGAAAAAGTTGCTCCTTCTTTTACTTTGGAGTCAACTCTAATAGTATCACTTAATGAATTGCTTCATTTCCTCAAATTTTCAAGAAATAAAGCAAATGGAAGTGTCTATTCTATTACTAACTTTTTTATTTTTATATTCAAATGAGAATATTTTATTTTATTACGCTCTTCTCTATTTCAGTATGCACATAGGTACTACTGACATCAGGGAACGCAGTTCTTTTGTTTGATATTTTTAAATTAGCAGTGCGTGAAATGAAAACTTGAGTATAGTTAACTACCTCCTCCTATTTGAAATGAAGAACCTGTGATAATGTGAAACGTGAGTAAAACTATATTAACCTACTCAAGTATAACATGATATTTATATTTAGTGAGGAAGTCAAATCTTTTACTGCTTATTTCGAAGCCTCGAAAATGTAGCAAAGATTTTAATTTTCCAATACTCCTATTCATACCTGTAGTAACGATATATTATAAATTCAGGTTCGCAATTCGAACAATTCTAGAACGGTTCAAAATAATCACCAAGCTGATTATTGAGAGGAGAGACACGTAAAACTTTTCAAGTCTCAAATTGTGCGAATACATTTGACAGTTAGAAAGACCCGAATACGGCTAATATTAACTAGTTGTGAATATAAAAGCATTGTATATGGACTAACTAGTCTATACAAAGATAAAAGTAAATGGAAGCCCTGCGCCATCTGTTTGGGAAAAGATCAACTGATAAATATAAATACCTACTCTCTATAATAAAAAATATGGAGGCTTTGTACGTTGTCTATAGACGTATACAAAGATGGAGTTGTTATTGAATATATATTTAAAAAATCCAAGTAAAGCGGGGAAATTTTTGATCTCAAAATTTGGGACTCCCAATAGGGGGAATATTACAATGTCGACTCAATGGTATTATGGTATCTAATTTGTTATCAAAATGTATACAAAGTTGGGTCAGTCTCATTTCTTGCGTCGAGAATTATTGACAAAACAAAAGAGAATCAGTTACTGTTGCTTTCGTTTTGCTTGTAAGTGTAATATATATTCTTGGCAAAATCAGTGTTGTGTTAAAAATAATGGAATACCTATTTTTCGTCGTTATTTATTTCAACAGTTCACCTCCTTAAATTATAAAAGAAAGCCATG